TATCTATCTATCTATCTGTTAAAATATGCACATATCCATCTATCTATCTATCTATCTATCTATCTATCTATCTATCTATCCATCTTTTCAAATTGATATCTATCTATCTATCTATCTATCTATCTATCTATCTATCTATCTATCCATTATCTATCTATCTGTTAAAATATGCACATATCTATCTATCTATCTATCTATCTATCTATCTATCTATCTATCTATCTATCTATCAGTCTGTCTTTCCAGTCTGTTCAAATTGATATCTATCTATCATCTATCTATCTATCTATCTATCTATCTATCTATCTGTTAAAAAATGCATCTCCCTCCATCTATCTATCTATCAGTCTGTCTTCACAGTCTGTTCAAATTGATATTATCTATCTACCTATCTGTTAAAATATGTATCTATCAAATCTATCTAATCTATCTATCTATCTATCTTTACAGTCTGTTCAAATTGATATCTATCTATCTATCTATCTATCTATCTATCTATCTATCTATCTTCACAATCTGTTCAAATTGACATCTATCTATCTATCTACTGCCAGTCTCAAGTTATGCAAATCAAATAAAACTCAATAAGTCAAAAAGTTCTGAAGCAATATTGGTCAAATTTAAACTCCTCCATTTCCACCCTTAGTAAAATATTCAGTTAAAGTTTCTGCCATTTTTAATCGTTAGTTTTTGAGATATTTTGAATTTTTTACAATATCAGATTACGACCTTTGAAATCTAATAAAGACTATATATTTTTCTTTTTGTTCATAATATATGTTGAAACATGAGTAAAGGGAATGATCTAACAACTGCTGAAAAACGAAAAATAACAAAGTTATTGAATGAGGGAATGTCCACAGTGGAGATATCAAAGGAACTTTGCAGAGATCATTGAATGATAAAGAAGGCTGTTGAAAATGTAACTAAATTGAAAATTCGAAGTAAAAGAAAAAGGCTTTAAGAATTTACTTCCTCGACATCAATGTAAATTAAAGCGAAATAGCGAAACGACTGCTTTTGACCAGCGCTCAGATCTTTGAAAAGGCTAGAATTGAGTGAGTCAAGAAGCACAAAAGGTGTAGAACACTTTATGGAATGGGATCTGTAAAAAAATCTTTTAGGAAAACCACTTAAGGAAATATTTTAAAGCGTCAAAATTGGGCCAAAAAATACACGAAAATTGACTTTTCTAAAGTAATTTTCACGGACGAATCTCGAGTGACATTTGATGGACCTGATTGTTGGGCCAAAATATGGATTTTTATTAAATTCAGACGTGCATGTGGCTAAAAGAAGGGGACAAGGAGTCGGTAGTGCTATGATATCGGCTAGAATTGTCGACCAAACCATTATTGGATCAATTGAAGTCACTGAAGCAGTTAAACTTAACATTGCTAATTATTACGATTTCACTAATAAGACTTTCTTTGTGGTCTTAGTCTTGCAGTTTCAAAGTGAAGTGTGTATTTATGCACGACAATGCTCCTTCTCGTGTATCTAAGCTTGCCCGTAAATTATTTGAGCATAAAAATTTACAAGAGAGAAGATAATGGAATGGCTACCATCAGGTCCTGATCTTAATCCGATTGAAAATCTATGGTCGATTGTGAAGTTGAAATTATATGAAGGGGGCAAACAATATAACAGCAAAACAGATCTATGGGAAGCAATTAAAACTTCCATGTTGGAAATTGAACCCGTTGAAGTAAAAAAATATGATAAAATCATTGGATAATAGATTACTGAATGTTATTGAGAAGGGTCACTATATTAAAATGTAAATGGTTCGATGATTTCTCATATGTGTTTGTTATTTGTTCTATTATAGGTGTTGATCAATTTTAGATGACTTTATTACCATTTTATTAAAGTAAAATGTGATTATTTGGTTTTGCCGAATAACTTCAAAACTTTAACTTTGTTTTGACATCTAAATTGATTGTTTAAAATTTAACAATTTTTTTTCAAACCAAATTGGAATTATTGAAGTTTATATGATTTGCTTAATAACTTCAGACAGGGTGTATATCTCACCATAGCAAAATTCTAAACACAACATCTGCCAATGG